TGTCACCATATGTACATCGACGGTCATTGCACACGACGCAAGGAGCTGCGTTCCATTCCCTTTCTAATAGTTCCTTGTATCTGGCAATTAACTCGACTTTCGTACGCTTCTTAACTTTAATCAACTTCCCATCCTTGTCTCTACCAATTGCAACAAAAGACATTGTTGCTTGAAGAGTTTATTAAACATTTGCCATGAACAATGGCATAATATAGGAACATAAACATCACTGATTGGTTTAAAAAAGCGATAACTAATACAGCGCTTTTTGATTGCTTCAGATTCTCCGTCAATTAAATCAGCCCAGAGAGTTCTATGTGTTGTTATGACGCATGGAGTTCTTTTGAGTTGCTTTGCCGCCTTGTTTTAGACAGGAATATCGAATACAAAAACGATCCACTGTCGTTCAGAGCATTTGAGAGGATACACTTTCTGGTCATTTAAACTACGAATGTGTTAATGCATTTTATCTGAAAACCCCATTAAAACCTCTGAGATCGGTTGATTAGCTCTCTGAATGGATACTCCCGTTTTTTAAAAGAAAACGAATAAAAGTTGCCCGTTGCTGGAAAACACATATTCGATCGAGTGCTTCAAATGCTAACAAACCACAACTCAAAAACGTGACATGCTCTGACATTTTTGTTGTGAAGACGCAGCAAGACATGTACCTGTTCTACTTGCCAGATGGGGTGCACCCATTCCCTAAGGAGGGTTTTTTGCGCAAACTAAAGCAGTAGGTTTTTTACTTCGTTTGCTTTAGCTTTATCCTCGAAGGTCACCCCAAATCGTCCTTGTTAACCAGAATTTATTATATGCACACCGTCAGAAGCAAACACTTGATGTTCAAAAAAACCAATTCTCCGAAGGAAATGCAATTTTTTCACGTGCAATCATATATGTGAAAATATAAAAATATAAACTGCTGAGGGACCAGATAACTCCTTTCTATTTTCTGGTACTGTATAGGTTCATTCGCGCCTGCGACACAGGAGGGATGCTATTTGAAGAATTTTGGTCAGTACAAGGACACAGGGATTGATGCTAAACAGCCAGGTATGTCATATTCTTCCAAGAATGTTCATTTGTCCAGGCAGGACCACAATCTATCCGGTGACATTTTTAAAGAGACAACATTTCTGCTGGAAATTATTTTTTGGTTATATTGCCCTAGCAAATACCAAAGCGCACCATTTTTCAGGGAAGGCAGAATTGTGTAAATACTACAGACCTGTGCTCTTCGGACTAAGAGGTCTCCTACCAAAACTGAGAATTTGCCAGACCTACTTTCCAGATAAACAGTATGTAATTATTCCAGATCGCGTTTAAACGCACTGAACGGATTTACATATATGGCTGTGTCTGCCCGAAAGATAACAATCATAGTTTACTTCATATAGCCTGTTTTGTCTACACTCTGAATCCTATTCATCCACAAATAGAGACGTAAGTTCTTAGTACGGATGAACATCGCCTATCACTGGGTTCTGGTTCAGATAGAGAGAATCAGTATTTCTTTTTGTACGAGCAAACTGGTCCTCCGCTTGGGATCAAGAATGTAATCCATTGCATTTTTAGTAAGGGATGAACGCGGATTTCTGTCTTCATGCTTTGAAAGCCATCAAGGCAGTTGCTGTTTAGATCTGGCTGCCAATTGCCGTTGCGTTCGCCCAATGTACTTGCATTCGCCAGTATATGTTAACTCATAGACACAGTTTGAGGTAGCGTGCACTGGCAGGGCATCCTTTACACGTGGAATTGGTGGGAGCCTTGTAGGACTGCAAAATATGAGCCCGACCGCATTATATGACCTTTCAATGGCATAGCGCAGGCGTCGCTTAATAGTTTGTAAAATTTGTCACCCTTAAATGGCAAAAAAGGTAATAGTTAGTGTCCTTTGGACAAGGTTATGCCAAGTTACGTTTCTATTGTATGGGAACAAAACTCAAGTAATGTCCCTGTTGGATGGGGTGTATAAACATCTCAAGGAAAAGTACAAGACATGACAGCCGATCACCACGGCCTAACGTGAACCGCAACTGCTACTTAGCGCCCACACTGGATGACTATTAATTTTCCACTACTAAATGGCGCAAATTACAGTTGCCAATTAGCATCCATACCAGATGCTTATATGATTTTACCATCACTTTACTTTTTCATTGCACATTTTCTCAGGTCTGACGAACGAACTGGGGATCCAGCTTCGAGAATTTAGTGAATGAAATAACCTTATTTCCCAAGGAACGTTCTTCCTTGAAATGACAGTGTCTTTTTCACAATGGAGAATTTCAAGCGCATCTCGAGTTATTGACGGTAAACACTGGGTGACTTGCTAGACGGCTGCGTTCCACAATAAAACAGCAAATTGAAAGAGTGGAGACGGCAACGCTTTCACACCAGAAGTCAGAAGGCGTTATCATCACGAGTCTTTGTAGTGCATAACGGAGAGGACTTGCAAAAAAATATATTTCTTAACCGTTTAAGAAACCCCGTGAGTGTAATTTGGGTAAACGTGATTGGGGCACGTCGAAGCCGCAGTCGGTCTGCTATAAGCGCGTACTGCTGAAGGACAAAGTTTGTATGTTCGTTGCCATCAGTTCTGTGGTAAAACTGGATCCATCCGAGGGCAGTTCTTACATACTAGGCGATCCTGAACGATTCTCGGGTAGTAATTACACTCCCGTGAATGAAAATATATATTGAAATGCGATTTTTGGCTTCTCGAGCTCGTTTTCTATACAAGACTATGTGTGCTGCACAAAGAATTCTGGCCAGTACGATTGAAAATGTACACTTTTTGGTAGTTGCGAAAATTCTCATCAGAGAGTTCAGAAGAGAAATTTGCAAGCGTACATGGGAAGGTAATGATAGATCACCCATATCAGACCACCTCAATGTGCAGCTACTTCTTTACTTGCTCCTGTGGAGCAGGTTATATTGGTCGCACGAGTCGGCGCTTATCCAAAAGAATTAATAAAGACCTCCCGGCGTGGCTGAGAAAAGCTGGAGTTGGGAGCATAAACAGCTTTATTCTGGCGCACATGGTTGATTCCGGATATCGTGTGGACCCCAACGAAGCCTTTCGAGTGATCTACAAGGCCCCACAGAACTATCCAAAGCCTCTGGGTCAGAACTTGCTAGTAACAGCAGAAGCGGCCCTTATTAGGTTAAAGAAACCAGCCCTGTGTGCACAAAAGTCCGCGTCTGGCTTGGCTGACAGTCTTTTGGTGGCATGCACTCGTCCGCGCTCTGTTTCTCTCCCTCCTCTCCTCCCTCCCCCCTCGAACTGGCTGCAAAAAACCTTGTCCTGTTAATCAGCCTTCTCCTATCGACCCCTCCCCCTCTACCCACGGCTCACTTGCATAAAGGACGTACACGTTTTAAGTTGTACCCCGTTTCCATATAAGTGTACTCGTCCGACAAGAATTAATCGAAAGCCTACGTACGCTCGCCAATTACTCTTCTGATTTTTTGGTACGTTTGATAACCTCTGGACTCGCATTCTGACTGAATGTCTTATTTCAGACATTTTACCCAGTTGGTTGTTGTTGCTTTCCTTTGTACCTTGGGGACTCGCAATGACAAAAATCGTCTTTGAAAATTCACCGGATTTCCTCCTTGAACGGGGTTTGGCAATTTGCGCGGCCTACTTAAACTAGAAATGTAACGACTGACAGGACACCGTGGCTAAGTGGTAAAGCGTTTAACACTTAACATCCAATGGCCGAAGAACCCGTGTTCAAACTCCGGATCGTCTAAGCTCACGATTATATATAGCCTGACTGATGAACGTTAACGAACCCAAAACTGCCATCCCAGCCTCATCTTTACTCACTAACTACCCTAGTTTTTTGGTTGTTTTCAGAATGCTTTATATGTATGTATAGGTTTTGTGCAGAAAAATAACCTTTTGACTGAATACTGTTTGCCCCCCTTTTAGGTCTTGCGTCTACGGAGGTGGGATTGCTGGCATTTGGCATCGTCTTCAATGCCCTGGCATTGGCCATGGTGTGTCATCTGGCAGTCATGTGGTGTCGAGCCCCCTACGACAGCATCTACGTGCGAAACTTCCGTCTGGCTGTGGGCATCGTCTCAACAGTTTGCAGTAATACCCGCATTCATATCGCGCATAGGTTCCTTTACGAGCCAATGCATCCTATATTGCCCAATCGCTCACTCCGTATTAAGTTCAAGGACTAACTGGTATTCCTCAGAAGCAATCCCGTCAGTTAAGAAAATTTGGTATTACTAAATTTAACTTACATAGTGGGTTCGCTGGATGCCAAGGCCTAAGACAGCCATTCCTTTTAGGTAAATTGTAAGGCCAGTCTTTCCAGTGCGCGTCACCAGCTGGGGGGGGGGGTTGTATTTAGTCTCCGAGTTTCCAGTTTGTACAGATGTCGGTAAGTTTGTAATTCCCATCCAGTTTTCTCTAGGGCATTAGAATCCTCATCAGTACAATGCAATTCGTAGAAAAATTTTGAGGTCTGTCCTTAGGTTGGCATCACACGGCCAGAGGCCCTTCAAAAATAATGTATAACTGACCAAGTTCTACAAAACCTCAGCAATACGACAATTCTGTTCCGTGGAATCAATGATCTTTCTCAGACAACCGCCAAATGCGGGGGATATGGGTTTGAAGTTTAAGTACTAACTCCGTCTGTCTACTCTATCTTATTGCTTCTGATCGTTATATCTAGTAAGATTGGTTTAGCAGCTGAGCATACTTTCTGGATTTGTGCCATTGCATTGAGAAGCCTAAAATCTCACCGATGTAAATGGAACGGTAGGAAACAGACATATGTATATCATTACTTACTTGCAGGTCTCACCCCATATTTAGGTAACTGGTATTAGTGTTGAAAGATTTTATATTAATACTGCCACTATTCGGTCGTTCTAGTGATCTGTGAATAGTGAAAAAAAAACGTTTTTGTTTGATTTTAGCAATACTCTACCTGGCAACCATTATCGTCTATCATCTGGAGCTCAATGTTGAAGTACAACAAATGCCAATAGTAAGCTGAATTGTTTGCTTAGCATTTAAAATATCGTATAATGACAACTCGGAACAAAGTATTGAACTGACAATACCCACGCTCAGCTTCTCCATGGGTCACGTGGTAATTGCACTGCAGTAACACGGGGGAGGAGAGCAGATCAGGGCCTGGAAGCGTTAGTCGGAATGCGAAACCACAAACAATGGTTCACGTTTCGGTTATGA